TTCTTAGTACCTATATATATATATATATATTTATTTATTTGGCGTTAAACCATTTATATCAAAGAAGATTGCATTTGTTGGTCTTATTGTAAGTTTGTTCTTATGGAAGCATAGGTTATGTGTAGTTTGCCAGTCATTTCTCATCGATATTTAATTTCTTTTGTAATTATTTGTAACATATTTTCAGTATATTATGTCTGTATTCATCTTCTTTTTGTTTTTATGATCATGTAGCTTGCCCCATTTGATCCTACTAAGAAGAAGAAAAAGAAGAAGGCTGCAGTCCAAGACCCCACAGAAGAGGCCGATAAACTTGCTGAGAAAACAGAAAACCTTTCAGGTTAGTTCATTTTATTGTGTATGAATGGCTGCCTTGGACCATTTTCTATTTGTGGATGTCTTTATCTTGATAATTTTGGTTATTGCTTGTTGTTGTTACGCTGTGGATAAATTTGTTCTTTTTTGTTTTTGCAGTGGCTGATGGACCTGAGACCTCATTTGCTGGCATGAAGAAAAAGAAGAAGAAACCCGTAAATAATGCTACATATCTATGTGTACTTTATTGGGACAATATGGTAGTAGTCCAGCAGACTCTGGAATCCATAGTCCATTGGGGTTCATCACCATCTATTGAAATGATGGACAGGTGATAGAGAGAGAGAGAGTGGGACCACCTGTGCATGACATGACCCCTGTGGTGGGTCTCACTTTCTCCCCAATGTTGAATCCCCAACAGACTATGTTTTTTCTCCATGGTCCATTGGATTATAGGGTACTTCTCCAATCTTATATTGTGCTATTGCTTTATCATTGGGAGATTTTGATTATGCAATTGTCATTATGTTAGGTAGAGACCGACCTCAATGAGGACAATGGAGATGCAGGCGATGATATTAATGGTGAGCACTTTGGTTATTTGTATGTTTATAGAAAACAATGAAATAATTTAGCCTATGAATCACCATCTATCACTAAAAAGGAAAGGAAAGAAAGACCAAAGACCTTATAACAACTTTTCTTCTAGTTTTTGACTTTTGGAGAAGTTTACTTTGGTCATGCATACTTTAGGAGGCAGCCCCTTGTGAAATAGTTCTCAGCTCCCTGAGTACCTTTTTAAACTCGTGTATTTTTTGCAATTTATAGGTGATGATGTTGGGGAGGATGAAGAAGGAGAAGGCATTGTCCTGCAAGGTCGGTATCCTTGGGAAGGTACTGACCGTGATTATAAATATGAAGAGGTAGAGTTGTCTTTTCTCTGCATAGTATTTCAATCTCTATTTCTAAAATATTTTGGCACAGTTGCAGAATAATTAATGAGTGTAAAGCTTAGGGTTGATTCTCAATTAAAATAATATGAATTATGATTACTAGAAATCATTTTCTTTGTCGAGGTTTGTCCAGATTATATGTCAGGGAATATATTATGTATTTCATTGATTCGGAATTAATTTTTTTACCACTTATATGAAGCACTTGATTTTTTCTGTATGTGATCTTTATTGGACACTCATGTTAATAGGTTTAATGCCATACTAAAGAGCAGTTTGTATTCAGATGGACTATCCAGCTTACCTGGGTGGCGTTCCTGCAACCCTAATGTTGTTTCTGACTAGTATACCTGTTTAGGTATGTTCATTATAGGGTCTATAAATTCCTTTTGTTGAGCATCCTTAATCTCTTTGTAAGATTTGTATCTACCTCATGCATTTCCTTCCCTAGGAGTAGTATTTTAGACATGATGCATCCTAATCAAAGCGATGTCACTCAATAACTCAAACCAATAATTTGTTGCCTGAAGGTGTTTCTGACCTCCGACGACATATCCTCCCTTGCCTATCTAAGAATACTATCCCGCTATTAAATCACCCTCCGTGGACTTTTCTCCTCGACCGCAATATCTGTCCTGCATTCCAGTTTCGTCCCACGCATATTTCACGGAGACTGATGGAGAGAATGGGACCTGTCATTGTTGTCATGTCTTGTATTGATTGACACACTCTTTATCACTTTCTCTCTTTCCATGGAATGCAATGAACCCTATGATGTATGTTTTCACAGATGCCATTGGACTATATTAAACTTCCTATCTATTTTTATCTTTCTGATATTGCCCTTGTTTAGATATTCTAAGCCCGGAGATATGAAGATCTTATTGCCATTAACCAGAATCCTATCCCTTTGGTATGCATTCTTCAATATTTCTTAGTTTCACCTTCAAATCACAAGAGATCTGCGTACACTATGGCATAGCAAATGGGGAGATTTTGAAATGTTGCATAGTAAAATGGGAGATCAACAATATCATGGTCTTAATCAACATTTTCCTACCTCTTGTATGCTGTATCCTTGATTTCCAGTTTCTTATTTTGATTGGATTTGATAGTTTCCTTCTCGTGTGTGCGTGTGCATGCGTAGAGTGTGGGTGCATGTGTGTGTGCTTGTGAGAATGGCTTGGGGCCTTGGCGGTAGTATTGCCAAGCCTCGATAAGGATTCTGACTCCATTCTCACCAAAGGGTAGGGGCCCAAAATCCTCATTGACTTACTACTTTCCATTCTCACCAAAAGGGTAGGGGCCCAAATCCTCACTGACTTACTATTTTACTTACCCAAAAAAATGTGTGTGCTTGTGTGTGTGGGTGTGCATGCATGTGCCTGTTGCATGTGTGTGAGTGTGATGGGTTAATATATATTTATCTGTTTTAATTCAAGTGATATTTGTGCAGCTTCTTGATAGAGTGTTCAACATCTTGCGTGAGAATAATCCAGAGCTTGCTGGGGATAGGCGAAGGACAGTGATGAGGCCTCCCCAGGTTCTTCGGGAAGGAACCAAGAAGACAGTGTTTGTGAATTTCATGGATCTATGCAAGACGTATGATCTATTTTCTTTACATATACAGGGAAAGTGTACAAAGAGACCATTTACCTTTTGTACATAATATTCACAATCATCCCAAGCCGCTAGATGCGAAATTTGACAGCTGGAGTTGTACCAATGACGATGCTCAAAGTGTGAGAAGATTTTCTCCCAACTTTGTGCAGAGAAATACAGCACACCGTAGCAATCCAATTTTACACTTGACAGCTTGGGGTGTTGGTGACCTTACTGTACAAATGCTAGGAGTTTCTTGCATGAAATCCCTTATTATATATGTATGTATGTGTGTGTGTGTGTTGTATGTGTGTGTGTAGGGATAGTATACTATAAGATCATTTACTTTTGGTGCAAGGAGATGCCATCACTGTTAGCTGTTCGATGTGAAATCCTATGGGTTAAAGTGTGTCCCAACACGTCTTCAACCACTTGATTTCACATCTAACATTCAATAATGATTGCTACCTCCTTATACCAAAAGTAAATGGTCTTATGATATGCATTTCGACATACACACGCGCGTGCACACATACACACACATATGTCTGTGTATATATATACACACACACACATATATATATATTGTTGTTTATTTACGCTCTTTTTTTTATTGTATAACTATGGTATGGTTGCTATGCATGTGTAACCTATGCTCTATACTGGTCATACAGCTTGATTTGGTTTTTTGGTTATGCCATATTAGTCCATGAAGGTTGTTCAATTTATTTATTTTTCCCATTATCTGCATTTTCCCATTGTCTGCAATAAATTTGAATGAACAAAGCGAAACGGAAAATCTAATCCTTTGGTTTTGTTGCGTCGGATGCATATGTTTTAATCTACTGCAATGGTTCCTTTTTGAAGCGAACAATGAACATAAGCGAACAATGGACATTTGATACATAGATGGTTTCTCAGGAAGATCTACAAAACGAAGGTGTGTAGTCCATGGAATATGGATAGTCATTTTTATGGAAAGGGACTCCTAAAGTCAAGGGATGGTTGGGCAATAGCTGGTTTTCACCCTTAGTCTGTTTAAGGGAAATGTTCTGTTTGATGGAAACCAACCCTTTATTTTATTTGTTACTGAACTAGGTAGAACTGTATGATGCTATTGGCCTGCTGTGATGAGTACCCCTGGTGAGTTTATCAACAAGGTGTTGTGTGGGTTTTGGAGGTATTCTCGAGTAAGGAAAGAAAAAAATACACATCTTAGAATTTTTAGGTGTGTTTAACACTCATATTTTATCATTTTATGTAATGTGAACGCATCACGTCAACTCCTCTTTGGATTTACCATGTTACATATTTGCCTTTTAGCAATATTTTTGGCTGAGCTATTTAATTTTTTTAATATTTGTCTTTGCAAATATACCCACCATAAATTAGTTGAGGGGGTGTATTATGTCTTCAGGAATGTCAAGGAACTACAGAAACACACGGAGCAATTTATGCTTGGTATAATCAAATTGAAAGGATTTGCTCGGGAGTATACTTAGATTATTTGGAGTTTCATTCGAATACAAGAAACTCACTTATTTCCTTGTTGATTAATAAACTCACTTCCCATAAAATAATTATGATGATATTGTTGCTTCTAAGTAGTGACTAATTTCAATACTATATTTACTTATTATGTTGATGATTCTGTCTTTATCGGTGCCTTTCATGCTGATGTTATTAGCGTCATGTTTATGACACGCACAAGCGTATCATTAATCAAATTCAAATGATGTTCCCTATAGTACATCTGTATGTGTATTTCCTTGTTTTATTGGTCCCTCTAATAATCCTGATTTTTACATAGTTGGAAGTCATGACACTTTCAGATCATATTTTGCAAAAAAATTTTCATGCCCATGGCCAAAATTTTTTGCATGCCCATGGCCTTTTACATTAGTTGCTTTTTAATGGATGGAGGCCTGGTATTGTTTACTTGAAATATATAGTTGTACTTTATGTTTATTTTAACTATTCTCAATTTATTATGTGCAGGATGCATAGGCAGCCCGACCATGTCATGACCTTTTTACTTGCTGAAATGGGAACCAGTGGATCACTTGATGGTCAACAACGTCTTGTTGTTAAGGGGCGATTTGCCCCTAAAAACTTTGAGGGGATATTACGAAGATATGTCAGTAAGTTCCTTTTTTTTTTGGGCTTTACATCAGTTATCCATCTCAATTATCAAGAAACAGAAATGAATATCATGTACTCACCACCTATCAAAACTGGAAGAGTATTGCTCTATGTAAATTTGTTCACCAGTAAAGATTCATGGGAGTTACGAGGGAATTATGTATCAAGAGAGAAAGAGAGGGTGGGGGGGGGGGGGTGGTGTGGGGTTATGTTTTTTGTTTTGTGGGAATGGGAGAATTCTATATTGGAGGGGGGTGGATTGCAGAGAGAGAGAGAGAGAGAGAGAGAGAGAGAGAGACTAAACGCTGATGTCCTTTTATAGAAGCTTTTATGCTTGAACACTTTTCTTATTATGTATTATTGGCATTCCAGATGAATATGTTATGTGCAATGGTTGCAAGAGCCCAGACACTATCCTTTCCAAGGAAAACCGACTATTCTTTCTTCGATGCGAACAGGTTAGGTCTTGTGTTTAATCCTCTCCTATATTTTACTATCAGAAGACTATTTTCAAGAGGCTACAACTTCTTAGGGCCTACAATTTGTGCATCACCTCCATTGATCACCATGAGTAGATGGTGGATGTATTTGTTTTTTATGCATATACATACACTCCATGGGATGTTGTATGTTTGCCTTTCACATATTGTTTATTCTCTCTCTCTCTCTTGAAATGTGCCTTGTTGATTCTTCTTTGGCAGTGTGGGTGCTCGCGTTCTGTTGCCCCAATCAAAGCTGGTTTTGTTGCACGTGTTGGGCGCCGCAAAGCTGGAACCTGATTTCCAAACCCTCATAGGTTCTTTTTTGCTGATTTTGTTTGTGAATTTAAATGATAGCGAACTCTTTTGGCATGTGTACTCTATTTGATTGTGTACTTTGTGACTTTAAGTCTGAAGGTCTCTTTGGCCAAGAAACTTTTAAAGAAAATATGGTTCCCTCGGTTATTTATAACTTCTATGGAAAAGGAATTTTTTGGTTAGGCAAATGAGAATGCATACAATTTTTTTCGTTTTTCTTCCAATTGAAACATGGTTATTTTGCTCCCTTCTGTAATATGAGTAGGGGTGTAAATTGTCAAAATATGCTCCTGTTTTCCCCTCAATTCTATGGTATGAATCAAATGCTTTGGTTGGATATTCATATTGGCAGTTTATCTTTTTCTTTGTTTTGTTTCTGGGAATTAGATCAATAAATGAATTAGATCAACAATTTTGCCAACAAAGTGGTTATTGTGGTTATTTTGACAATATCTGTTCACTTAGGTAACTCCTCGAGAACCTGGTTAAAAAATACTCAAATTGCAATTCTTCCAATTTGGAACCCTAAAGAAGTGATGTTATTCACTTGAGCTAAATGAACTAAGTTCTGGTACGGGGTTCCAAATCAAGTACATGATTCTATCTCGAAATTTTTGCTTCTTATTTGGAAGTTGTCACGTGCGTTTGGTCTAATTTAAGCCAGCTGAAAGATATATTTGTTTAGTTCTAGGTTCCAAATTTGGTACATTATGTTTTATTGAAAATATATTTGCGTTTGGAACTCAAAACAAGGATTGAGCTCAAATGACTGAAGTGGCGAAATTAAAAGAATGCCATTTAATTGTTCAACGTTCCAAGTTTTTTATCAAAATATTTCAGAAGGTGGTTTGGTGAATTAAACATTGAAAGTGCAATTTAGCACCTCAATGATTTCTAAATATGGTTTGGCCGTTTTGGTGATTTTTTTTTGTTTCAATTCGATGGAGAGAGAGAGAGAGAGTGTGTGTGTGTTAAAAGGCTCTTGGCACCTCAAGCTTGGGAGAGAGATAAAAGACTCTTTGCACCTCAAGCTTGGGACCCTGTGCACCCTATCTATCCAGTAAGTGAAAATTGGAGGGGTATGTTTAAGCCCTCGAGATATTAAGATTTAGACCCCTTTGGCAGATTTTCGTCAAAATTATCACTCTCTTTGGGAGTTATTCGAATTTTGATTTTGATTCTCCTCTGCTAAGGTGCTGCCACAGCTGTTATTAAAGATCACCAGTTTATGGAATGCTTCGATCACCAGCTTATGGATTGCTTCCTCGTGGACCAGGAGTGCATCCATATGACAACAAAAAAAAGGGAAAAATAAGGTAAGAGTGCATCCATATGACGAAAAAAAAAGAACAAAAGGAGAAATAAAAAAAAAATGAAATAAGGTAGACTAACGTAATCTTATTTCTACAAGTATGGTTGTCACCAGTGTAGGAAAAATTGGGTGGTTCAACTTCTAGCCACATGGTTAGATAGGAATCGGCCACAAGCCAGTTCCGGTTTCAGCTCGTTTTGGTGAACTAGTTGGGTATTTAAAAAAAAAAATTACATAAAATATCACAAAATACTATCTAGCCACTAGCCAGTTTTGGTTTTGGTGAACCAATCGGGTATTTTAAAAAAAAAATTACATTAAATATCAAAAAATAAGAGATTTTGTTTGTTATGCATTTTTTAATGTCTTATCATTTTGACAAAGATTGGAAATTGTTTTGGCCATTAATATTTATTTTTTATATTTTTTCTTGTATAAATTTTTTCATTTGAGAAGTTTGGTTGGAGTTAAAATATGATTACATATAGATGAATTTTGTGGAAGTGCTGAAACTTAGAGAATGATAATTAAATATATGGAAAAGGACAATTGGAGAATTTTAAACTTAGTCTCTTAAAGAGGGATTTTAGAAAAATTTAACAGTAATAACAATAACAATAATAACAATAACAACAACAACAATAATAATAACAATAATAACAATAACAACAACAACAATAATAATAAAATTCAAATGCATTTTGTATGTGTAAGACTCTGCATGCAATAAGAAGTGTTTGGATGGCTCCATGTCCACGTAGCATAAGCTCAACTTTGATGGAAGTTCTTTGGGTAATCCGGGACCGGCTAGAATTGGTGGAATTTTATGAGATTGTTATGGTAATGTACTTTTTTCCTTTGTTTGGCCAATTGGTTGTGCTACAGCTAATTTCGCAGAATTGAGTACTTTATTATGTGGCCTGAAGATTTCATTGAGAGAAATTTGGGAACTAGCTGCTCGATAGAAGGCGACTCTTTGGATGTGATAAGATGGTGCAGAATGGAACAAAAATTCCCTCGGGAACTTCGACTTTTGTGGCTGCAAGTGATTGATTTGACAGCAACTGGTATGGTGTCTTTTACCCATGTTTATAGAGAGGCTACATAAAGTAGCCGATTGTCTTGCCAAAAGGGGTACTTCTTTTCCTTCACTTCAACGACCTTGATCCAAAAAAAAAAGATTCTATATGCAACAACAAACAACAACAACACAATAATAAAGTTCAAATATTGCATGCAAAAAGTCTCAATATTGAGGGACAACCAGATCTCAAAATTCAATTTTTTTTTCTTTAAGAATAAACTGAGGTAGATCTCAAAATTTTGGATGTAAATTATTGCCCGAGGAAGTAATCATACAACATGCCCCCGCTCAAGCATTTTATACATACTCTCACTAAAATTGATGCTTGGAGTGCTATCATGGATGATGGAGAACTTAATCGACCGGTGATAGAGCAATTAATGTGTAAGGTAGTGTTTTAAAAGACGGCGATTTTTCTAAACATTCATGATGGTTGCCTTTATTTGGATCGGGAACCGCTCATCGGTAATGTTCAAAAAAGAAGGAAAAAAAAAGAACCTCTCATCAAGATCAAAATTAGTAGTTGGGCGATCTGATCCCCCTATAATCGTATATTAATATCATTTAAAGACCCATTTGGATTCGGGAAAAAAAAAAGTGCAGATAAATCCATTTCTTGTGAAATATTTATTGCGAAAGGTATCTCCTATAAAAACAGCTCTGTTGTTTTGAAAGCATCTAGATGCAATCTATGATATACATTTCATCTGAAAAATCTTAAATGCAAGCAATCTCTAGAGCGAAAAACATGATGGAGAGAAGGAAATGACTAGAGCAAGATGAAAGTAGAAAGAGTGCGGATTTTCTTGCCAAAAGAGGCTCTGATTTAATTATTGATGTTTCTCTGCCCGCTTAAATTGATTGTAATTTCTTGATGAGCAATAAAATTTCGTTAGATTGTCCAAAAAGAACAAAAACGAAGAAAAAAAACAAAAATGAAAGCAGAAAGAGGCTTCAATAGAAGAGGAGGGATAAATAGAGAAAAATATTTTTGGCAATAAAGTTTCCTCTCCAGATTTGGATCCAAACCAAAGAACTTGGAAAACCATCTTTTTGATAATCTTCCCCAGAATTCCAAATGGCCCCTTGATATTCTAATTCTCAATGCAAATCATCGATCCGTATCAGTATGTTGCAAGCAATCACCCGGGTTTTGAAACTCTGGTACGATCAATTCACTATTTTAATTATGGAAAATTATACAAAGGAACTATATTAACTTTCGGTACGTGAAGATCACAATCATTGTTATCCGCCGGATATCAAATCGAGTAGTTTTAAGAGTGTCATCGACTAGTCCAAAATTCCAAATACAATTTTTTGAACTTTATGATACACCCCAAACCATTCAACGTGACATCTAATGGCTAGGAGTCATTGTGACATCTAATGGCTAGAAGTAATTGTGATTTTCGCGTAATAAAGATAACTGGGTCTCATGACATACAATCCGTGTTATATTGTAGATGTAGTTTCTATAAAGCCAAGGGTTTATAAAAACAAAATAAAACTTCATTTTGAATGCTCGTCCGAAAAGCACTTTGAGCATAAAAAATCTCCATGAGGCCTATAAAATTAATTTGTACACTGAAGACTAATTTGAAACTAAAAAAATAATATAAATATTGCAAATATATGAACACTTATTTATAAGGTGAAAGGACGGTCTAAATAATGTGTTATACTAAAGGTTTAAAATCTTTTTTTTTTTCCACAAAAAATTCTCTCTACACTAGAATTATAATTTTTTTTAGTGAGTCTTTAAAATATTTTCTTTTAATATTTTTAACAAGTAAGCGAGTGAACCCGGATCTCATTCTTGAGATTTGAGTTGAGACCAAATAAAGGTGATTTTTACAAGACCCATGCCATTAAGATCATTATTCTTAATTATTTGGCGTGGCTCGAGGCCACCATATCGATCACCATCAACACCAAACTCCAGGAAACGATGTGTGCCTGCATTATTAGGAAACATTTAATCGCCATCCATTTTAAGAATGGAGGATTCCCATGCGAACAACCATAATACAGACTACCACATATTTAGTGTATGGTGTGCACATGGTGGTAGATTTAAATAGTACACTCCCTCGACAACTTAGACCCACTACACGTTGTAGAGAGAGAAAGTGTAGAGAGAAATAGAGGAGAGAAAAAGTGTGTGCATGTGAAAACCAACTGTTCCGCTCTGCAACACACGCCACTTGTCTCTCTTCCTCTCTCAATCTCCTCTGTTTTCTCTGCCTCTCATTTAATTCTCTTGTCTTTCTCTACTCTCTCTCCTCCATTTTTGTTTTCTATCTTCTCTCTCCTCTGTCTTTGTTTTACTCTCTCCTCTATATCTCATTTAATTTGCTTTCTCTCTCTACCACTCATCGAAACTTTGTCCTCTCCTCTCTCTTCACTTCTCTTTCTCTCTCTAAGATTTATTTGTTTCCTCTCTCTACTCTCGAGAGTCTTAGACGTAAACAATTCGAAAAACTGAGAGCTTATTGGTTCGCTATAGAAAACAGTTTCGCTCTCTGCAACTGCCTGTAACTGCTCTGCCAAGAAAGAGCTTGGATTTTCTCTCTCCTCTCTCTCTCATGGCTGATTCTTGTGATCTCCAACAAAAACATGGGCTTTCCGATCTCCAAAAACCAGAAGAAGAGAGAGAGAGAAAAGAAGAAGAGGGGGGAGGAGAGAAGTGTGTGGGTTTGTCCCGAAAGGACTTTCCCCCTTCGTTCATTTTCGGCGTCGCCACTTCATCTTACCAGGTACTTCCCATTTTTGGTTTTTGCTCCCTCTCTCTCTCTCTCTCTCTCTCTTACGTTTCTCTCTCTCTACGACGTACTACTCTAGTGACTATCTCTCTCTCTCTCTCTGTAC